AGGTTCATGCCAGTAGTCCGCATTAACTTCTTTGGCAGTCCCTCTGGAGCTGGAGGAACAGTCGTTTCAGTGTGTGCTCTCCATGGACCCGAGCGGTTGGGTTCCAGTCCTGGGACTAGAGCCCCTTGGCATTGGCACATTACCAACAATGAGCTGTGGAGAGTAGCCAGTCAATTCTCTCTTTGCCTGTTCTAAACCCACAAATATCTTTTGTCTTTTATTTGCATGAAAAGAGTGCCGGGTCAACAAAATACACATCTCCATGTATTGGTGAAAGTATATAAATGTTGCCAATTTTTTTTTTTTTTCTGAAAATAGTGTGGGGAAGGAATTGATGGCAATTACCCTCAGTGGTGGTGGATAGCTGATATATTTGCTTGAGGTCGGAACAGAGTTATGGTTAAGAAGCAGAAGTTCTGAATTTTCAGGATCTGTTTGAATAATTGTCTTCTATATTCCCCCTGTTTCTAAACACGTTTATGGTTTAACATTGTATGTGCAGAGGGGGAAACATTGGACAGATCTGACCCCCAGATGGCTTAGTTGATGAGGACTTGTAAAGACTTTGAAAACCCTTCCATTTTACACCGTGCGTCTGAAACTGGCTCTGTGTTGTAGATGTTAAATGTGGAAGTGATGCTTATAGGTCGGAGCTGTGGCCTGGCTGGTATCTGCGCCTCTGGTGAATGTTCAAAAAAATTCTACCTTTTGTCTTCTTTTGGATTCTTCATGGGGAAAGAAGTCCTGCATATGTTTCACCACAGAACTTCAGAGATCACCCTACTGATTGCAGTAAGATAACATGGTTTATTGCAAATAGTTAATCTTAGCTTTTTAATGTTTTTTTTTTCAAAGAGCTTGCACTGTAGGCTTGAACTATTAAAATAATTTATAAACTGTTATAACAGTTATAAAAACTCACAATATTCAAGTACTGAGATTTGATTGCTGTATTCAAATTGGAGCCAAACTCCTGCTCTCCCACAGTTATATATATTCATGGTCAGTAATTCACACCTTGTCATGGCTCTCTACATCATTTAAGATATGAAATAAATGAAAACATTTTGCTCTGGAGTTTTGCCTTGATAGAAGCGAAATGTAAAATAATGCAGTCATCGAAGAGGTGGGTCAAATTGCCATACATATTAAAAGAGGCTGCTTTTGATCAGCTCTTTTTGAATGTCTAGTATAACTCCATTTATCTGAAGATCTCAGGGGACGCCGAAAACCTCCAGATAAATGGGGGCTTAGTTAATCAGGGAAGCCAGCTGTCCAGCTTCTTCACCAGGGTAGGGTTCAAGATCATAACCCATCCTTTCTGCAGCCAGGCCATCTTCAGAGAATGATTTGCATGCTTCACTTCAGCAATCTAGCCTTGAGGCTTCTGTAGAAAAGCCAGCCAGGCATTTCAAGCTTTCTCCTGGCCCTGCTCGTCCCAGAGCACAGCAGTGAGATGAGAATGGGAGTTCGCTGATATATGTGTTGCATTTTTTAAAAAGTAGTAGTCTGTATGGCATTCTGCACACATTTGTTTGGTCTAAATAATGCAACGAGGCTTAGCATTCATGGGCATCTTTGTGTCAGGCTATTCTGAAAGCGCACAGGAGGGAGGTGACGCAAATTTCACGTTAGAAAGATTAAGCTTAATGTTCTAAGGTGTAAGTAAAATCTCACCACTGGCTCTTAAGGATGAGGGCACAGCACACTTAAAAGGGCTGCAGTTTTGGCAGATCAAGTAATGTGCTAGTGATTATCTGGATGAAAGCATTCTTACATGGTGATAAATACGAAGCTTCTTGAGGCTGCAATTGAAAATTACTGTTTCAGACTGCTTCTGTACAAAAGGTCTTGAAATGCTGTGTCTTCACCACCACCTCCTTATCTATCTCATATTATTATTCTTTGGGCATGTTATGTTCCCTCAGATCCCCAAAATACATTGCTTGGGACTCCAGGGTATCTGACAGATGACTAACGTAGTGATGCCTACAGAAGATTCTGTTATAAACACAATTAAGTAGCAAAATGGTGGTTTTGTTTGCATACAAGAAGTGCAACTTGAATAAGCTACAAGAACAAGATTTTGTGTGAGAGATCAAATGGTACTTGTGATATCATGCTGCTTTCATGACCTATATTTACAGGCTGGAGGTATTTTTCAGAGGGTTCTTTACAGCTTGTTTATTAATGTTCCTAATGCCTCTGTTAAAATTCCTAAACTTCGGTAAAACTTCAGTTGATTTTTTTTTTTTTTTAACGAATCCAAACTGTTTTCCCTACTATGTGTATGTATTAAAATAGAGATAGCAGAGTTTAGTTTATTTCACCTGCAGTGACTTAATGATTTTTAGATTAGGCTGTAAGTGAAAATTAGTACGAGCACCTTGCTTGCTGCCCGTATGGCAGGAGCTGCTGTGCTGCCTGGTGGTCCTGGTAGTCGTGCTTCGGGAAGCCTGGGGAGACATAAGGAGTGTGCTGAGCTGAAGAGGCTTGGTTTATGCAGCGGTCTTCCTCACTGAGTCTGTGGTATCTGCACCTACTGCTTTCAGCTTTTTAATCTGCAAGAGTGACACTGAATTAGAGTCTTCCTCATACGCCTCTATAGCCGCTCATCGATCCACACAGCTCTCTGGACCTTGGCTTAAACTCAGCTCAGTACGTTATTTTTCAGATGCCTCTCCTATAGCTGCCCAGCTGTTTGGCTGAGTGTTTTTTTTTTCCAGGCTTTTGTGTGATTAGGGGCATCTTCCATCTCATAAATAAGGATTTTATGAGATGTAAAGCTAACCTAGTCAAAACCTCCTCGCTGTCTTTTTCCGTGCAATATTTAGCAAAATCAGGACAAACTTCTGGTGTGTTAGCAGTTGTTCTGCGCATTGTATGCTTATGTGTTAGATGTGCAAGGTCTTTCATTAAACAGCAGGATATTATTAGGCATAGCATGAAAAGCCTTTATAGTCTCCCTGCCTTGTTTAAAGCGGGCCCACAAGCAGACCGCAGCCTAAAAGGCTGCGCAGTGAATCGAGCGCTGATGGCCGGTCGGCAGGCTCAGGTGGTCGTCAGCCGCAAGTTTCGCCGAGCCCTTTCAGTAATTTGTCACGCCTGGGTCTGTTCCCGCTGCGCCAGCACGTGCCAGCTCCGTGTCGGAGGGGCTGTTGGCCAGACGGCCACGCAGCCCCCGCATCCCGCTGTTAGCGGGGCCGGCGCTCGCCCGGCCGCGCGCTCCGTACAGCCCTGGCAACAGCCGAGCGCGCTGCAGAATAAGCATCTTCATAATGAGAAGTGAATGGCATCCGTCAGTCCCTTTAGAATAGGGCCCAGGCGTGTGCCTCCTCTCCTAGGAAGTTTGGCAGCCTATTCATTAACAAGAGTCATCAGGAGTTCAGCCCATAATAGGGAGGCAGCCCCAAACGCAGGCGGGCTAATGCTTGCGCTATCAGGAATGCGTTCTCCTGGGCTTAGGGGAAAGAGAGAGGAAAACTAAGCAAATAATGCTGTCAGCAGGTGCAAACTCTGAAATGCTATGTATTGATTTTCTTTCTTCAAGCTTCCACGGGAAGTTTATAAGAAGATTTATCACATATCAATCGTCCTCCGCTAGCCTTAAAAGCAAAATTCTTTTTTTCTTTCTTTTCTTTTACCAGCATGTCTATAGGAACTTGCATACAATTAAGATGCGCTTTGCTTATTTCCCTGGAGGTAGAACACTAGACCATCGTGCCCTATTTTTAAGTACCGCTTTACTCTGATATTTTTTTTAAAATACTGTTCCGGAGTGGGTTTGTAATGAAAGTCATAAATGGCACTTCAATATTAATTAGTAATGCTTTTCAATTTTAAATGCCCGCACCTGCATTGTGTTGTCACTGGTGTTATTCTCACTGCTCCTAATTTCTAAATTTAAATTGGCCTTTGCTCTCACACAACAGTCTTACAGAGTTAGAATGCATTTCCCCCTAACAGAAACACAATGAGAATCTGAAAACTTTTGTTTTAAATGAGGAAACGGAGAATGAGATGTCATACTGGCTCCTGCGAGCGTTAATTCATAAAGTCATACGTGAGGTTCTTCAGCCCATTGTAGATTTGTTTCAGACGTTATCCTGTTATTGGAAGTGTATGATTCACCTTCTGAGAAAACAGAAGCTGCACACAAAAGGAAAAGATTTGCTTTCTCCGCTGTGAAAAGCTGCCGCAAGCAGGGGTCCTATTAAGACAGCTGGAAAGTTGCTTCAGCTTGTTACGCTTGTAAGTTTTATTGGTGACTGGTTTTTGATTACACATTTGAATGCTGTGTGTTCCAGGTTGCCGAGTTTTAATTAAAAGGCAATAGTCTTGATTTTAGATTGCTTTGTTGTCTGCATTATGCAGACTATAATGCATGCAAGTTGGGGGGTGAATTTTTCCAGTGTGCATCATTTATTTAGGATACATAAGATTACACCTTCTAGCACCTGCCTTAAATATAAACTTCACGCTTTCAGCAATTGTGTTTATTACAGTTAATTTCGTTTAAGAATACAGTGATCAAATAAATACGTGGGGCTTTTTCTCCTCTGTCCTGCAGCTTGTTTCTCCAATCTAATCACTTTTCTAGTCTGACAGGGTCTTAGTAATAGGAGTATTGTGTACCAGGAACTTTCTGTAATGCCACAACTTGTCGGTTAAAAGTTGAGTTTCAGTTTTAAAAAGCCTGCAGTCTGGGGGGGGTTGTTTCTGCCCTCAGTAACTTCAGCAATCTGTCAGATCTACTAAGCCACTGCTTTTCATTCATGAAGCTAAAAGATATTACCCTTAATTTCAAGCCATTAAATGTGTTCATTCCTTGTTGCTAGCGTTCAGAACTGTTAGGCAGCACTAGGCAATTTTTGTCCCCTCTTTTCCGTGCTCACACAGAACCTTGTTAGTGTCGCTGCGGATCTGAAGTGCTGGTGTTTTGGACGTTGTGTAACAGCATTTAATTCTGCGCACACATTTCCTTAACCTGGTCATTGCAGTTATGAGGAAAGAGCTCTGTATCTCGAAGCAATAATCCAGAACCATAAAGAAGTAATGACATTTGAGGATTTTGCTGCTCAGGTCTTTTCTCCCTCTCCCAGCTACTCCCTCGGTGGAACTGGTGAGTCTCTGCACGTTATTCTTCTCTTTAGCACTAAGAAGCACTTGAGCAGCAGATGTACACCTGTTTTTTGTAGATAAATGCTTGCAAATTTAAGACGACCGTTCTTCCCCTGAATCAACTAATGAATATCAAAAGGAATGATGACATTCATTTTAATTTGTTTTGCATCACAGCTATTCACTCTGCTCCTTTCTTCAGCTATCCTGTTAACCCCCGAATCCAGCAAGGTTAATGAACTTTCTCTCAGTAATGTGCTCTGGTTCATTCAGGAGTGTGGGTTTCTTGCTGAGCTGGGAATATGTTGTTCAAAAGCTATGCCTGAATCGGTGCTTACTTATCGAAAAATAGTTCCTCACAGTAGAAGCCGTTGCTACTAATGCTAAATGGGGATTATGCTGCTGAGATACCAGGGTCAGGGATTAATGCAAAAGAAATGTAAGAACTGTGTTTGGTTAGAAAATCATAGCAGCGTGCGGTATGCTAACATTTCCCTTAAATATAGATGAGCAAATTTCAGGCTCCCTTCCAACACCTGGCCCGGAACTTGTTTGGGGTTCTTTTAATATATGGATGGATATACATACGTGTGTCCATGTGTATATGTATATACACACACATTAATGTTGATCATTATTCATCAGCCCTACTGAAAGATGAAAACGAAATGCTGAACACAGTGATTTTATTCCTTATGTGCCCTATCGAGATTTTAAGTTAGCGTGCAGTCAGTAAGATGTGCACTGCTACTTTGCTGTTTTAATTGAGTTTAAATAAATGTCTCCTGAAAGGAAGCTTTGACTCTGAAATGCAGATTTCTAGTAACCTTAGGATTTGTTTTTCCAGCTTCCAAAAAGTATATGGTCACAGTGTGTTGGACTCTTTAACAAAGATTCTTTAATCCATTTTTTACACTCATAGGGTGAAACTGGCACTTCCTAATTATTGCCCACAACTCTTTTGGATTGTTTACTAGATTATTTCAAACCTGTATAAATGTTGCAGGACATCTGTTCTATTTCTCTTTAGCCTGACTTGTTAGCAAATATCTTCCATCTAAACTGAAAAAATTGGAGGCAGAAATTAAATTTACTAAAATAAATCACTTACAAATAAAATCAGCCGTGCATCATTGTTTAACGTTACTGGCTCCAATCCTCGAGCTTTCAGAGCTTTGTTAGGAGATAAGAGGTATATGCATGTCCCTGCATTGGTCGCCAGTAGCAGCAGGCAGAAGGCTTTGGAGATAAGCAAGCTGGCAGAAGTAAAGGGGAACCGGTGCTATTTACATAATCGCGCCTCTGCTTCCTGGAGAGGCGTCAAGAAACACAGGGATGGCCTCTATTGATCTTTGTTGAACTGGAATACTAAACAACATTAGAAAAGCTTATAACTTAAAGCTTTGATTAATGTTTTCTACATTAAAAAGTAGAACAGCTGTGAATTAAATTCTTTTATACGCTCTGCCAAAAGTCTGAGACAAAAAAATTATCAGTTTCAATAGAAATGTAGATTTCATGCCCAGTGTTGTTAGCACTTTGAATCATTTATCTGTTGACTTATCAGCAAATAAAAATGTAGATACATTGATATATTTTAAATATTTTGCTCTATGCATAATTGTATTTCATTTTCATGTTCTTCTTACAGCGCACAGTAATCTTATTATATACAAATATATTTCAGCAAGCAAGGACAGATTCATTTGATAATACTGTAGTCATGCTTTCTAAAGCCTGCGATATATTTTGTATGCCAAAAATATTTAAGATGCTTCTTAATATCAACTTAAGTTTTTCAGAACACTGTTAAATCATTAGTGTCTGAATGTGTTTTTCTGATGTCATAATTTTATTTTGTTTTAAGAGTAAAACCTGCCACAGTCAGATCCTGATTTTTGAACTTCCAAATGCCAGAATTTATTTCACACTCACAAAGAAACTGGAGGCCAGTTATGACTTCTGGTGTCAAAATCTTTGCTTCAGAGAGTCTCCTCATGCTGCCTACTGACTTACTTGCATATGTAGTTGTATGTTACCCAGAGCTGTATCAGTTGTTGCAGTTTGTCATCAAACGCTATCCTGGCAGCCAGCAAGGAGGCTGAATGTAAACCTCGCAACTCGGCTGCTGTTGCCTGCTCGGGTGAGTCCCCATCCCAGGAGCAGGGAGCCTCATTGCCGAGCAGGGTACGGACCTGCCTCAGCCTCACCCGTTGCCGTGTTTATTGTGGGTTAGATTGGCAGGGTACTACAGATGTACCAGCAGCGCGCAGAAATAAAGAACGAACCAGCTCGGGTGCAATTTGAGTAAGTTTGCAGCCATCTATTCATCCCTGTTAATGATTAGAAAGGGATGAAAAACTATGCTGGAGCCAGCAATTCCCCTGTTGGCATGGGCACAGCCAGGGGCAAGCAGGATGGTCTGAGGCTGTAAACGGTGGCAGCTCTGCATTTCCCAGCGCACAGCCTGTCCCCCCCACCCAGTGCCGCAGGCAGTTAAACCTCCTCCAAGCTTACATTCACCTTTCCTGTGCCTGCAAGATCGGCTGTCTGATGCTTAAGAAATATGGATGGCATTTTTCCTCGTGTAGAAGGGGTATTTCTATTCTGAAACAGGAAAAATTAATCACGGAGCAGTAAATGTATGGAGCTGACACAGGTCTGTGTTTCCCCTTCTCAGGTAACAAGCCAGCTGATACTACTAACCCTGCCTAGCTTAAACTTTTCAGGTAAATTTAAGATTAATTCCCCTCTGATCTTATTCTTAATACGACCTACTTGTACTCCTGTCATTGCTGTGTATACATGTGCACAATAGAAGGGGTCAATGAGTAAGTGCACATTTTATTAAAAAGAAGATTGGTTTTAGTAGTTAACACAGTATAAAAAGCAAATCAAGATCATTAAATAAATCAAATACATAGCTGTTAATGACACACATTATTGGTGTATCATTAACTATGATCTATTTATTTGAACTAAATGCTTTTATGTTTTCTGATACTGCCTCTAGGGATGCTTTCCTTAGATTCAGATGGGATGTGGGTTTCTTGAAGTGTGCCCTGGTTTAGTGTCCTGTGTCACAAATAGTCTTGCAGGTGCTACATTTTATGCACGAAAATCATCCAATTGACCTCCTTTGCTGTTTTCAGAAGTAGAGCCTTAAACTCCCTAGATGCATCATAGATAGCCCTGTATATCTTAAATGTTGAAAATGCAGCCTGGTAGGCAGAATGGACATCCCTGAACTCATTTAGGGGATGTGCAGATTAGGAACAAAAGATGAGAATACAGTCCTTTGTTGCTAAACTGGTACATTACATGCTGTATTTTAATTAGGCTGGGTATGAGAGTCAGCCCAGGAAATCCTTAGTAATCCAGCACTATTGAATTATTCTTATCCTTTCCCTCTGCAGATTTCTCTCATTTTAGAGGATGGGGTCTTAAGCTGCGTCTTTTTCTGTTCTTGCCCCCTCAACCAAAAAGAAAAATAGTTATTCAACAAAATACTTGTGTGTTCTTTAAAAAAAAATCGTAAAAATAAAACGGGCACAAATAGATACAGAAGTGCTCCAACTTTAATTACCTCTGCTGACTGAAAAGCATTTGTTGGGGTTCTTTTTATTTAAGATCAGAAGCCAGAATCATGTTAACCCTTAGAAAATGGAAGTAGTCAGGTGTTCTAGAAAGGAAAAGAAGAACTTTTCCACCAGAGAAAGATTTCTAATGTGAGGGTTTTATAGTTACAAGGGTAGATTTCTACTTTCAAGAGAACCTACAAACCTGCTTTTCAGCAGCGCAGACTTGCAGTTAGTGCTTCAAAGGGTTAATTGAAATGGGCACACTTGACTGCTGAGAGGACTGATCTAATCACTGCCATATCCAAGTGCATCTGTTCACCATGAGGTCATTCTTGTGCATGCTAATGATTTGGAAAATAAAGCATAATGCTTGACGTTATCAGAAAGGATATAGTGTAAATCTTTGCTTCTTTAGTTGCTAATAGCTATTGTGGAATGAAATGGCAGGCAAAAGCATCTCGGATTATTGCTTTCCATTTTAATTTTTTTAAAGCATCATTTTCAGTGGAGTGTCAGGAAAACTGCTGGAAAACTCTGACATGTGGTATCTGTTGATAAATGGATTCTTTAATGAATATTATAGCATTGCCCAGGAGCAACACTTGAGTTGAGGAACTATAGACGTTTTCAGCATTCCCTGGTTTTAAAGCCTTGGAAGCTGTGCCTGCTTATTTACATAAAACTGAGATTTTGCAGCCTTTTTGTTGAAAAGGTGACACATGCTTTTCTTTTGTCTCCAGACATTTACATGCATAAATTTCTTGTAGAAAATACTTGAATGTACAACAAACAAGATTTGGTTTATTTTAAAACACTTTTTGCTAGGTGCTGAGCTTTTTCTTTCCCACTTTAAAGCAAAAGGAGTATTTCAAATGGCCATGTAATTTTAAAACATATTTTTGACAGAGACAAAACCTGAAGTAACTGTTGTCTTAAGCAGACATATTCTTTTTAATGGTAAATGAGCAATGATTTGGTTTGGTTTTATCGGGTTTTTTTTACTTCTTTGTCTGTGCATTTTCCTTGAAAATCTGCAGGATGCTTTGTCAGTTCTGTGTACTAGGTGGAATAAAAGTCTCTCCAGGTTCTGTATAATATTTTTGCATATTTTTAGGGAAGTCGGATGGAGCTGAATATTAAAAAAATACACATCTGAAAATAAGTAGCAGTGCCATGATATTACAGCATATGCAGCACATGCCAAGTGTTGGATTTGATGAGTATGACAGCGTTGCCTGAAACTGAAAAATTAGTTTCTAGTAACTGAGACTTAGAAAATTCCAGACTACCCTGGCAGCTTGGAGCCCACTGCTCAGCTGTTTCCACTGCAAGAAGAGGCGGTGCCGAAACCATCTGGCAATTGTTACCAGCCGGACCGGGATGCTGCTGCAGAGCTACACGCAGCGCTTTGACGTGGGCT